AATTTTGATCATAATTTGATAATTTTCATCATTATGAGGCTCATGATAAGATCAACTCAATCATTTTATAATGAAAGGCTTCTAACATTAATACAACTTACAAAATCTTGCATTTTGACTTTAATAATATGGTCGCTTAAACTCGTTGCACATTGGTTGAAAATAAGGTAAAGGATTTCAATGGGCTACATTCAAAGATGATCCCTTGTGGATTGTGAGCTTGAGCCTAAGATGGATGAGTTGAATTGAGAGAGCTGGTTTTGTAAGCAAATTTGCAATTTGGTCTTGACAGTCGATGTGATGCACTTGCATAATTTGTAAAAATGACTTTTAGTGCGCGTGTGAAAGACATGATTGTTAACCAGAGTAACAACATATATATTGTCACAGAATAAAGAATTCATTGTTGGTAAATGGGGAAGGAAGACAATTTTATAGTGGTAATTTACTAATTTGATGCCAAGAACAAGTATTCAACCCAAAACATAATGGAATAAAAGAAGACAAAGCTTCATAGTGACACATGCATTGGAGTTTTGCAGACAAAGCTTCTATGTGTTGAATTCTTTTGGGATGTGACATCCTATATAATTCATGAACTCAACTAATTTAGAATAGTTCATGAAGAAGAAGCGAGAAGAAGTTAAGGAGTTTTGCAGAGTTCTTTAGGGGTGTTGGATTGAGAGAAAGAGAGAGCTAACAAAACAGTTTCAGGAGACTATGTACCCACACATAGGTCTAGCAAACAAACCTAGAACTAGTCTATATGTTATGTAGCATGAAGCCGGAGCAGACTCGTTGTCAACAAGCTTGCTGGTGTGGATTGTCGTGTTTTTAATATATGACGGTATGTATGTGATATTTACATTTGAGCCATTCTTTTCCCAAAATTTAAAAAAAAATGATAAAATGAGCTTTCATTATCTTTAGGATTGATGCGATCAAAATTCATGCGTCCAACATGTGAAAGCTTGTGGTAGTTCAATAAATGGCAATAGAAAAGCTTGCCGTGTTGTGGCCGCCCTCAAATCAAAATGGGGTCCGGTTCGCATTTATCTTCCCCTCGCCCTCACCTTCCTCGCTTTCTTCTGCATTTCGTTTTCCCACTTTCATTTGTTTTTTTTCAAGGGGAGAGCTATCATTGAGAGCAATTTGGGAGAGAAAGGGAACAAATACTTTGCTGATTCTAAGGGTTTGATTATGTTAGCCGAATTGGATTCTACTTTATCTAATCAATTTCATGTGGGTATTAGTTAGGCTTTATCAAGTTGTCATTATCCAATTTTTTTAATAAATGGTTTGAGATCATTTATATTTTTTTTTATCTTTTCTTATATATATATATATATATATATATATAT